GGTGGTGTTGATGATACTGGAGGTGGTGATTGGAGTAGTGATGATGGTGGTGGTGGTGTTGATGATACTGGAGGTGGTGATTGGAGTAGTGATGATGGTGGTGGTGGTGTTGATGATACTGGAGGTGGTGATTGGAGTAGTGATGATGGTGGTGGTGGTGTTGATGATACTGGAGGTGGTGATGGGAGTGGTGATGATGGTGGTGGTGGTGTTGATGATGCTGGAGGTGGTGATTGGAGGGGTGATGATGGTGATGGTGGTGTTAATGGTGGTGATGGGACTGGTGATAATGGTGGTGGTGGTTTTGATGATGCTGGAGGTGGTGATGGGAGTGGATATGATAGTGGTGGTGGTATTGATGATGCTGGAGGTGATGATGGGAATGGTGATGACGGTGGTGTTGATGATGCTTGAGGTGGTGATGGGAGTGGTGAGGGTGGTGGTGGTATTAATGATGCTGGGTTGGTTTTGGGAGTGGTGATGGTAGTGATGATGATGCTAGAGGTGGTGATGGGAGTGGTGATGATGGTAGTGGTTGTGTTGATGATACTAGAGGTGGTGATGGGAGTAGTGATGATGGTGGTGGTGGTGTTGATGATGCTAGAGGTGGTGACTGGAGTAGTGATGATGGTGGCGCTTTTGATGACGCTGGAGGTGGTGATGGGTGTAGTGATGATGGTGGTGGTGGTGTTAATGATACTGGAGGTGGTGATGGGAGTAGTGATGATTGTGGTGGTGGTGTTGATGATGCTGGAGGTGGTGATGATAGTAGTGATGATTGTGGTGGTGGTGTTGATGATGCTGGAGGTGGTGATGGGAGTGGTGATTGTGGTGGTATTGATGATGCTGGAGGTGGTGATGCGAGTGGTGATGGTGGTGTTGTTGATGCTGGAGGTGGCGATGCGAGTGGTGATGATGGTGGTGATGATGCTGGAGGTGGTGATGCGAGTGGTGATGGTGTTGATGATGATGCTGGAGGTGGTGATGGGAGTGGTGATGATGGTGGTGATGGTGGTGATGATGCTGGAGGTGGTGATGGGAGTGGTGATGATGGTAGTGTTTGTGTTGACGAAACTGGAGGTGGTGATGGGAGTGGTGATGATGGTGGTGATGATGCTGGAGGTGGTGATGCGAGTGGTGATGGTGGTGTTGATGATGCTGGAGGTGGTGATGGGATTGGTGATGATGGTGGTGTTGATGATGCTGGAGGTGGTGATTGGAGTAGTGATGATGGTAGTGGTGGTGTTGATGATGCTGGAGGTTGTGATGGGAGTGGTGATGGTGGTGGTGGTATTGATGATGCTGGAGGTGGTGATGGGAGTGGTGATGATAGTAGTGGTGGTGTTGATGATGCTGGAGGTTGTGATGATGGTGATGGTGGTGTTGATGATACTGGAGGTGGTGATGGGAGTAGTGATGATGGTGGTGGTGGTGTTGATGATACTGGAGGTGGTGATTGGAGTAGTGATGATGGTGGTGGTGGTGTTGATGATACTGGAGGTGGTGATGGGAGTGGTGATGATGGTGGTGGTGGTGTTGATGATGCTGGAGGTGGTGACTGGAGTGGTGATGATAGTGATGGTGGTGTTAATGGTGGTGATGGGACTGGTGATAATGGTGGTGGTGGTGTTGATGATGCTGGAGGTGGTGATGGGAGTGGATATGATAGTGGTGGTGGTATTGATGATGCTGGAGGTGATGATGGGCGTGGTGATGATGGTAGTGTTGATGATGCTGGAGTTGTTGATGGGAGTGGTGAGGGTGGTGGTGGTATTGATGATGCTGGGTTGGTGATGGGAGTGGTGATGGTAGTGATGATGATGCTAGAGGTGGTGATGGGAGTGGTGATGATGGTAGTGGTTGTGTTGATGATACTGGAGGTGGTGATGGGAGTAGTGATGATGGTGGTGGTGGTGTTGATGATGCTAGAGGTGGTGACTGGAGTAGTGATGATGGTGGCGCTTTTGATGACGCTGGAGGTGGTGATGATAGTAGTGATGATGGTGGTGGTGGTGTTGATGATGCTGGAGTTGTTGATGGGAGTGGTGAGGGTGGTGGTGGTATTGATGATGCTGGGTTGGTGATGGGAGTGGTGATGGTGTTGATGATGATGCTAGAGGTGGTGATGGGAGTGGTGATGATGGTAGTGGTGGTGTTGATGATACTGGAGGTGGTGATGGGAGTAGTGATGATGGTGGTGTTGATGATGCTGGAGGTGGTGATGGGAGTGATGATGCTGGAGTTGGTGATGCGAGTGGTGATGGTGGTGTTGCTGGTGCTGGAGGTGGTGATGCGAGTGGTGATGATAGTGGTGATGATGCTGGAGGTGGTGATGCGAGTGGTGATGGTGGTGTTGATGATGCTGGTGGTGGTGATGCGAGTGGTGATGATGTTGTTGCTGATGCTGGAGGTGGTGATGCGAGTGGTGATGATGGTGTTGATGATGCTGGAGGTGGTGATGCGAGTGGTGATAATGGTGTTGATGATGCTGGAGGTGGTGATGCGAGTGGTGATGATGGTATTGATGATGCTGGAGGTGGTGATGCAAGTGGTGATAATGGTGTTGATGATGCTGGAGGTGGTGATGCGAATGGTGATGATGGTGGTGATGATGCTGGAGGTGGTGATGCGAGTGGTGATGATTGTGTTGATGTTGCTGGAGTTGGTGATGGGAGTAGTGATGATGGTGGTGGTGGTGTTGATGATGATGGCGCTTATCGGGAGAGGTGTGAGAGAAGAAGATTCAAGTTTTGTTTTTCGGGGAGGGGGAAAGATAGTGAAACGGGTTAATGACCTCATATCTAAGGCACACTGAGAGAGAGAGAGAGAGAGAGAGAGAGAGAGAGAGAGAGAGAGAGAGAGAGAGAGAGAGAGAGACGAAAGGATATAAGAAATATTACACTATGACTATAATTCGCAGAAAAGCCGCACATAAAATGTTCACACAAAAAGGCACAATCAACTACGGATCAGTGCAAAGAGCAGATACAACTGGGCCAGTCAGGACCAATAACACATCGAGTCTTCAATTACAAGGGAAAACTAAACACCGATGGGGCACGAGCTAGGCGATACCACAGGTTATCGAAGGGTATGCTTAGTGCCACGCATGCCATATAAATATGGAAGAAACATTCACAAGAGAACAGACACTCCCCCCTCCCCCTTTTTTCCAAATAAAGCTGTACACAATCTCAAACATCCATGCCGACAGACATTAGAACAAGCTTACGGACAGACAAACGGACAGGCAGACATACGGTCGAAAGGACATACGTACAGTCTGACACACATATGATTGGATTAGACTTAGGGACGAACAAATAGACATGCGGACGGGCTGACTTTTGTTTTGACCAGGGTCCTTATAGAGCAACGATGCGTAATACAAGATCACTATTGTCTCTAGTCTCCTTTGCTCAAGTATACCCCAACTTTAGGTGATGGAGCGAGAGGAAGCGAGAAGGCTATACATCTGTGTATATGTAGTTGCACCTTCAAGTCATGGACCCTGTTCTTTCCAATAATTAATCCAGTCGAAAGTTGGTGCTAAAATCCTAAGCTGAATACTGGATGTGTCAACAAACGAAGCAGCGGTGAAATCTGATTCCTTCGGCTAGCTACTGTGTTAGTTCCGTGCATGGTGCGACACTATGAGCCGGAAATGTTATAGGGAATGCCTATAGTCTGAGCGGAGATGTGTGTTGTAAGCTGTATTTTCAAAAAAATGGCATGTAGCTGCTTGCCTGAGAATTGGCGGTGTGCTTTTGCAATAATGCCTGCTATTGTGTTGTGACCAGGGCTGCCGAAGTTGGTACTATATTACCACAACCGAACAAAACTGTACTTTTGGTACCGTTCTTGGTACTCGATGTTTTGATGTTTAGAAAGTTTCCATCAATGTTTTAACTTTTGGCATTGTATTGAACATTAAAAAACAAAAGCAAAAAACACTGACCGAGAGTGTACTGAAAGTAGTCGTAATGCAATTATTGATGCAAATGTACCATTTAAAGTTAATAATCAAGTGCGCTTCTGTTTCAGTTTGAAACGCTAGTGAAGGAGTGTCCGTAAAGACAACCGACAAATGGTTCTCTTGTATGTCTTTTCTCGCGGTTTAATATTCCAGTTTTTTCATTATAAATGTTAAATGGTGTTCCTTTTGATGTGTTTTTGATACATGTTCATACCAAAAAAGTAGTACTATGCACAAACTAATTTCGGCAGTCCTGGCCGTGACTGCCGTGTCCATCACCTGGATATTGTCAAACTGTATTTGTTAGCACCTCTAGCAGCTGCCTTTTTCATATGGTGCGCATGCAAGCTGTTTTACCAGGACTGCAGTCTGGTTGCCACATATGACAGCTATGAGCATTTTGTGCGTTTTCACGGGTACAGAAACGGAGCAATTATGGGATGGCCCGTATGTCGAAAGTTGGAACATAAACTGATATTCTGGTAGCTTGTTACTTAAACAGAAGGACAGATATACGAAGTGATGGATGAGAATACCGACGGACAGACAGACAGACAGACAGACAGACAGACAGACAGACAGACAGACAGACAGACAGACAGACAGACAGACAGACAGACAGACAGACAGACAGACAGACAGACAAAGCAGACAGACAGACAGACAGACAGACAGACAGACAGACAGACAGACAGACAGACAGACAGACAAACAGACAGACAGACAGACAGACAGACAGACAGACAGACAGACACAGAGACAGACAGATGGACGGACAGACAGACAGACACAGACAGACAAACAGACATACAGCCTACCCGATAAGCACTTTCCTGATGAAAGACTATCCACGTCTGTATGAGATAGACGGGAGCCCAACAGATGAAGAACTCCATCACTACGGCAAACAGCATCCGGATCACTCTCATCTTGTTCTGTCGAATCTTCAGCGAGTTGCTGTGGCGGATTCTATTCCCTGCCGGCCTTTGCCCTCGTCTGTTCCTTTGGGAAATCATTCTGGTGCCTACAATTAACACAAGAAACAACAATGATTCGTACATCAGGAACAGTTACACTTTGCTCTACATCAGGAATGGGAGCCGACATAGAACACTGTCTAGACGCTCGCCTGCCGGTCTAGATGTCTCTGGTTCCAATCCATATCTCCTCATGTTGAATCCGGGTCCCGTTTTAAGGCGGGAAATTATCTCATCACAGGATCATAGGGAGAGCTTACTTCTATGATAAATGCCTTCACAGAATCACAAGAAGAGCCTAATAGTGTGAAACCCATCTTCACAGTGTCATGGGGGAGAGCCTTATTTTATGAAACGTCTCTTCACGGTGTCTTAGGAAGAGCCTAATTTTATGTAACATCTCTTCATGGTGTCATGGGGAGAGCCTAATTTTATGTAACATCTCTTCATGGTGTCATGGGGAGAGCCTAATTTTATGTAACATCTCTTCATGGTGTCATGGGGAGAGCCTAATTTTATGAAACATCTCTTCACGGTGTCATGGCGAGAGCCTAATTTTATGAGACATCTCTTCACGGTGTCTTAGGGAGAGCCTAATTTTATGAAACATCTCTTCATGGTGTCATGGGGAGAGCCTAATTTAATGATAAATCTGTTCGTGGTGTCATTTAGAGAACCTAATTTTTTACAAAAAAACATCTTTTCAGGGTGTCACGGTGGGAGCCAAATTTTTTTTTTAAATCTCATTACTTTGTCACGGGAAGACCCGAATTTTCTGAAACATCTCGTCACAGTTTCATGGGGAGCCCCTAGTTTTAAAAAACGTCTATTAGCATAATCGTGGAGAGAGTGCAGTTTTATTAACCCTTCACAAAAATTACGGGGAGAGCTTAATTTTGATGAAATATCTCACCAAACTATTTTGGAAAAATTCCAATTTCCACAAATACCTCTCTACAATATGATGACAACAGCATGATTTTATTAAACACATCCAAACAGATTCATGGGAAGAGCGGGATTTTTTTTTTTTTTTTAGCAACTTCTCTTCACATAATTATGGGTAGAGTTTAATTTATGAAACATCTCTTCTCAGAGTCATGGAAACATTCTAGTTCCCTGAAACATCTCTCTACAATATCATGGGGAGATTCCTGTTTAAACAAATGTCTCCTTACAGTATAATGGAGAGATTTTGATTTTATGAAACATGACTATACAGTTTTATAGTAAGATTCTAATTTCACGAAAAATCGCAGAATATCAGGGAAATTTCATACCTGTAGAAAGTGCATTCTTGGATGGGTTCACAGCATCAGACAAGCTGGTGTCTGTGGTTGTGAACGACGACACACTTCGACATGAACCTCGACTCAGCAATCTCAGTTCTATAGTTCTGTAGTTCTTCGCGAGATCACTATGACCTGAGGATTGACAGAAGTATGTCAAGGGATGCTGTATATGTTGTTAATTTGTGTAATACGATGTATGCAGGAAATGGTATATAACAACGTCAATGGTTAAGTTTGTGTCACTAACTATAAATCATAATATTTAATACAATGCACACTGTTAAATGTCGGCTCTGTGGCTAAGTCGATGCGAACGCTTCGTGATGCCAGGATGCCGGGATCGATCCCAGCTGCGGGCCATGCGCCTTGCTTTGGTTTCGACAGTGGTATCAAGAAAGCCGACCGTCCAGAGGCAATGTCAAACTACTGGACGTAAATTTGCCTAGAAAAACCACACAACAGCCAGAGGCTGTTGGGGTTGGTTCTGCAACGTTCTGTAAAGCATACGCAACTAACTAACACTGTTAAATGGGACTAGATAGACAAACATTAACTCAATAAAAGCAACATAAAAGACATAAAATGTCCAGTTCCTTATAAAGGAAAGCTAAGATAAATTTGCAACAACAAAAAACAGCAATGCGACAGAGATATCTTTTGTTACCTCCATATTTTTACTGGCAATAGATTGGATTATGAAAATATCAACGGCTACCATTAGGAGTGGAATTATGTAGACCCATTCAAAACATCTGGATAACCTGAACCTAGTTGATGATGGTTCTCCTCGGTCCCACTTACGAAATCAGATGCAAGATAATTTGGTTCATTATTATTATTATCCTACCCCAGATGACGTCACAGGACAGTCCAACATTTTAGAGGGTGGTAAGACTGGGTTTCCAGGCTTTTAACCCGAAAACATCTAGAAATGGCCCTAACCCCAATCCCCCTATATCCCACGAGTGAGTGCAGCCTAGGTCCCACGACTGCATGCAGCCTAGGTCCCACGACTGCATGCAGCCTATTTACCACCCATTGAAATATTAGACCATGCCGTGAACTGTGGGTTTCCCCTGTTTGGATAGGATATTATTAACGTACCGAGAAATTAAATATGCTTGATATCAGATCACAAATATGTCTAACATCCATAATGAAAAGACAAACATAATGAAAGAGTGTAAGTGAAAATTCCCTCTTCACGCCTTATGCGCATCAGGCATATGGGAAGAGCACCCACATTTTTACAGACCAATCGGCACTAGGTGGGTAATGTGGTCAGCATTACGCCGTCTGTCTTGACGTCCCCACGACATACATCCTGGTACCAATTTAAGGTTGCGTCAACCTGCAACGCCCCATACTATGATAAAAATCCATGCCGACAGCAGTGGGTTTCATTCGCGGTAACGTTTGAATTACGAGTCGGACTCGCAGTGCCTAAGCCACGGAAGCTCGCTAAACTTACTGAGAGTCAATGAAGCATATGATTTCTTTCGATGATATCCCACGCCTAGTTCAGGCCGGATAAGCCCCTAAATATTTGACACCCCTCACCCCGCCTGCCACCAACCTCCTTCTCTCTTCGCTCTGCCCAGTGTGAAATTTTCAAGCAAATTGTCATATATTATGTTATCACAATCGACGAAACTGTACATTTGCCATTTCTATCCCCGCCCAGTCCTCGGGTGCATCAGTCACTCCGAGGTATCTTATGAACATAAGCAAATGTCAACAACTTGTGTTTTCCAGTAAAAAGTTCGTAAAGCTGCGCTGCTCGTAAACTACATTCAGCAATGTTTCAAGTCGATTGTAGATAAATCTCTTTCACACTGCATTAAAAATAATTCCCGAGAACATTCCAGAATCCATCAAATCTTGTTTCGTTCAGCGCAGATGGGCAAGCTAGAAATTGGTTCAAGAAATTTTATCTAAAAATGCGTAACAAACTTACGGATGCCAGAATATTGATGTTTGTCAATTTGTAATTGTTGAACGGCGTAAAAAAGGATCCTGAGCTCTTAATAGAGTTCGGCCAGGAGGGCAGTCTGTGCCTTGCTTGGGTTGACAAGGAGGGTGACATGGTTAATGACAATGTAGTTGACAATGTGGGTAACATTGTGGGTAACATTGTGGGTGATATGGTTGATGACAATGTAAATGACAGCGTGGGTGACATGGTGGGTGGCACGGTTGATGACAACATAGTTGACAGTGTGGGTGACATGGTGGGTGGCATGGTGGGTGGCATAGTGGGTGGCATGGTGGGTGGCATGGTGGGTGACAATGTAGTTGACAGTGTGGGTGGCATGGTTGATGACAATGTAGTTGACAGTGTGGGTGACATAGTGGGTGACATGGCTGATCCAATGTAGTTTACAGTGTGGGTGAAATGGTGGGTGACATAGTAGATGGCAATGTAGTTGACAGTGTGGGTGACATGGTGGGTGGCACGGTTGATGACAATGTAGTTGACAGTGTGGGTGACATGGTGGGTGGCAAGGTGGGTGGCATGGTGGGTGACATGGTGGGTGACATGGTGGGTGACATGGTTGATGACAACATAGTTGACAGTGTGGGTGACATGGTGGATGACATGATGGTGACAATGTAGTTGACAGTGTGGGTGACATGGTTAATCCAATGTAGTTGACAGTGTGGGTGAAATGGTGGGTGACATAGTAGATGACAATGTAGTTGACAGTGTGGGTGACAGGGTGGGTGGCATGGTTGGTGACAATGTAGTTGACAGTGTGGGTGGCATGGTGGGTGGCAAGGTGGGTGGCATGGTAGGTAACATGGTGGGAGATATGGTGGGTGACATGGTTGATGACAATGTAGTTGACAGTGTGGGTGACATGGTTGATGACAATGTGGTTGACAGTGTGGATGATATGGTGGGTGACATGGTGGGTGACATGGTTGGTGACATGGTTGATGACAATGTAGTTGACAGTGTGAGTGACATGGTGGGTGACACGGTGGGTGACATGGTGGGTGACATGGTTGGTGACATGGTTGATGACAATGTTGTTGACAGTGTTGGTGAAATGGTGGGTGACCTGGTTGATGACAATGTAGTTGACAGTGTGGGTGACATGGTTGATGACAATGTAGTTGACAGTGTGGGTGACATGGTTGATGACAATGTAGTTGACCGTGTGGTGACATGGTTGTTGACAATGTAGTTGACAGTGAAGGTGACATGGTTGATGACAATGTAGTTGACAGTGTGGGTGACATGGTTGATGACAATGTAGTTGACAGTGCAGGTGACATTGTGGGTGACATTGTTGATGTAGTTGACAGTGTGGGTGAAATGGTGGGTGACAGTAGATGACAATGTAGTTGACAGTGTGGGTGAAATGGTGGGTGACAGTAGATGACAATGTAGTTGTCAATGTGGGTGAAATGGTGGGTGACATAGTAGATGACAATGTCGTTGACAGTGTGGGTGACAAAGTGGCTGACATGGTAGGTGACAATGTAGTTGACAGTGTGGGTGACATGGTTGATGACAGTGTGGGTGACATAGTGGGTGACATTGTTAATGACAATTTAGTTGACAATGTGGGTGACATGGTGGGTGACTATGTGGTTGACATAGTAGGTGACATGGTTGATGATATGGTTGTAGTTGACATTGTAAATGACATTGTTAATGACGTCGTGGGTGAGAATGTGGGTGACACTCTAAATGACGTCGTGGGTAACAATGTAGGTGACATTGGTAATGACGTAGTTGGTGACAA